CTTGTGCTTCTTCATTAGGATACTTTGTGGTAGGCAAATTCCAACATCCTCATTTTCATCCTCGGATCCAATACAGCTGCAATTGCCTTACGAAATTGCTCCCCCAATACTTGTCAACTTTCTTTCATCTTTCCCACCATTGACCGAATGAAATCATCATCATCAGAACACTTTTCATCTCAACTCTTTTATGTCACAATTTCTTTGCAAAAATAAGTTAGATGGGGTACTCACTCCCCGATATGACATTAGTTGCCGAGTTGAATGCTTCCAAAATCTCACACACTTTCTTTAGGTTTTCCCAACTTCATCTCTTGGGGCAAAGGTAAAGTTATTATCCAACTGAACTACATTGGAACACATCTCTGTAATCAATTGCAGTTTCAACATCTGATAAGTAGAATTCCACCTCGTTTTGCAATCAAGTATGAGTTTCCGTTTGGGCAACTGTAACATTTGAACATCTCTACAACATAATTGCTCTAGTCTCTGATTGCTTGACATAACAAATACAGTCACGTATGTCTTGAATGATGGGCTTAATCTGAAAGCCCATCCTGAACCATGAGATTCAATATGTGTGCCGCGCATCGCACATGAAACAACTTCCCACCACACAGTAGCTTCTCTTTCTTCCCAATTGTCCTTCAAAATCTTGATTGCCCATCATTACTTGAAGCATTGTCAACCGAGATATCTAACACTTTTTTCAATTCCCCATTCATTAAACACTTATGAATAGCAGCAGCGATCTCAACACCAGGTCGAGGAGCCGGTATATGAACAAAATTGAGCACACGCTCTGCAACTTCCAATCATTATCAATAAAATGTCCAGTGACAACCATGTACTCAAGTTCTGATTAGAAGAATCCATAGATCAGTTGTCAAACTAATCTTGGTAATACCTTAACAAAAAACAACTTCTTCTTTTTGTATCTCATATACAGTTATACAATTTTGTTCAAAGCAGTACGCGTTATATTCTCCCATAGTGGCATACCACATTTTTGCATCATGTTAAAACCCTCTCCTCCACAACTGTAAATGAAGCTCATGCATGAGCACCCGTTTGCAGCTAGTTCCCGCATCAAATTCATATCAAACTTGGCATCTGAAAATGCAAGTGCAGATCGCATTGAGATATCATCCGTTGAACTGGGTGGCCGAAAAAACAACTGTGTTTGCATCTGACTACCTATTCTCTTCAAACATGATTTCAAATGTCTTGCAAACTGAGTTGTGCTCTTGTCTCCGTTATTGCAAGCTTTGCCTTGCAATGATACAACTCTCCCTTGTAGAACCATCCGATAGAACTACCTCTTTAAATTCTTTCCAAACCGTGATGTCTTTGGTCGTTTTTTCCTCTGAAAAGGATTAACTTGCTCTACCTCAGTACGGGGGTAGAGCATCAACACTATCATTGGGTGTGCCTATGGGTGTCGCATCGTCATCCCCAGTTTCAAAGATATCTTCTTCTGGTTGCATTTGTGGTGGAAGGGTATGTTGGATTGGGGGTGAATGACGGATGCTCCATTGGAATAACAAATCCCTCTGCAAAGAGAATAGTAGTCAAAATGCGAAATCAAGTAACTTTGACTTGTTAACTTTTAATACATAGATAATAGAATAACATGGTTACTAATTCAACACATCGTTTTAGCTTGTTCAGTAAAATTTTCTCATGTCTTTGTGTGTGACATAAGAGTACTTTGATGAAATATTTATTTTATTATGTTGATTTTCTTTTTCCAGACCTTGATGAAAGCAGCTTTGTAGATTTTTAAAGTGGGGATAATTTCTGTTCATTTCCATGGCATAGGGAACACAAAATAAAACAAATATTTTACTGAATTTACCTGTTAGATTTTTAAAGTGGGAGATTGATGAAGTTTCAAAGCTAACTACTTAACAGTTAGCCAAGACAACTCGGTCAACAATTAATAATCCTAATACCATCCCTTAAACAAAGTCTCTAAGACTTGTCACTACTTTAGTAGTCAACATTACCAACTATCCTAACATCCTCCCTTGAAACATAACTCTATAACTTTCCACTACTTTATTGGCCATCATTACCGCATTCTATAGTCACATTACCAATCTGCAGAACACTGCACCTTAGTTCAGCTTCTAATTCTTTACTCCATGGCCAAATTTGTTTGCCAATAACAACCTGCAAGACTTCATCACAGATATTGATCTGCATCTACCGGTAAAGAACCAACCAATGATACTCTGCTACTAAAGGAATCTGCCAACTAAACCAATAATATCTACTACTAAAGGAATATGCCTCCAGTAATAACCAGTCGTCAAACTAACAGGTAAATTCAGCAACTTCATCATCCCCCACTTAAAAACTAACAGGTAACATTTTATTTTAGGCAGCAGCTGAACAAACATGTGATATTAGCAATAACTCTTCTCTTAGAGGCATTTCATCAAACAAATAACAACTTCTCTATAGACTTTCAAAAATTAATGCAACTCATATCACCCATCTTCCAATTTCCAATACGCAGCAAAGCAACATAACCTAGAAGAATTTGTAACTAAAGAGAGAGGAAAACAAATTTGTAATCAACTTAAACAATAATGAGACTCACGCAAGAGACAACTTTGTCAAAAAGTAGGAAAATGTACCTTGTGGCAGCAGGGAAGTGAGAAGAAAGACGATGGTGGCCGGTAGTACTAAGCCGTCGCTGATCGTAGTAGTTAATGAAGGCTGGATGAAGGCTGGACATGTGGTTTCTTGCGCTGTGTTTTGGAGGTGAATAGCTGACTCTCTGTTTTTGGCCGAAAAATGACTTGATTTCAGATTTTAGGGGAAATATTAACACAGCTCGATCTCCTGCTCGAATGACGTCTCCAGTTCGCCGACAGCTCGCGAATAGTTCGAGTCGAGCCTGAAAAGCTCGACAGTTTTCACGAGCTTGACGTGAGCTCGAACTCGAGAACTACTCGTTCTCTGCCGAGTCGAGCCCGAGCTCGACACTAGTCGAGTCCGAGTAGCTCACGAGCTACTCGGTTCGACTGCAGTCCTAGGCTTAACTTGTCAGGAATTTATGTGATACAAACTGACTTGTGAAAGAAACAAATACTAAAAAAATTGGGGCATCCGAGAATTGAACTCGGGACCTCTCGCACCCTAAGCGAGAATCATACCACTAGACCAAATGCCCTTTGTATGGTTTACTTCATAATTACAACAGCAAAAAAAGTATAAATGAAAATAAACGCCGTTGCCGGGATCGAACCCGTCACCGCGTACACGGGAAACCTACCACTATACTACAACGACATTTTGTTAAGAAAGATCCCATTAAAATAACAATAACGTTTAAACTTGTAATACTCTACGTATAAAAATATTAAAAACACCCTTGTTAAGTATAAAAGTAAAAACCCTCTATTAATAACGCATATGATACTTTGATTTTGAATACTACATATGCTTGATATTAATGACTCATAAGAGCTTTTATAAAAGGAATGCTTTTCATTAGTGAGACCATTGGAAACTAAATAATGGGCTTTATTATATGGCCCCCTTAGAGATCATGTAACTACAGAGGCCCATAATTTTTAAAAGTATGGTTTTCGTAAATTCAATTTCAACTACTATTCGTGGTTTCATACCACTTACCATTACACTAATAGAGTATATCTGGTGCTTATCCAAATTTTGTTAACTCAGACATCCTCACTATGTCAACATGCTGTCATAAGAAGATCATCAAACTAAAATGAGTCTTAAATAAGGTAATTTATTAAAATTATCAATCACATTAGTGGATGTTAGGCACCTTATTATAAGGTAATTTATTAAAATTATCAATAACATTAGTGGTTATTAGCGAATTATGACGATAACTGTTGGATAAAGAAAAAGTATCACGTAAATAATATGTGATCCAACTTTAATTAGCTAATTTTCAGCCTCTAAATATGGTGAGGTGGTGATCATTTATATAATTTTTATTATTATCATCAATCACATCCATTCAAATATAAACAGGGATACTAAATATATGTATAATATTATTAGAAAGAGAAAAATAACAGTGATGATGAGACATTAAATATTTTGATTTCGATTTCTAAAACTGATAACATTTCCTGTAACCAATAAATGGCTGTCCATGTCTGGAATGTCATTCTACATTTCTAAATCACCCGGTTTGATCCCTGGTAACGGCAATTTTTGGTTTTTGAAGTTTCAATTTTGATTTTAATCTGTTCTTGGATCATCTTGCAACTTTGATGGTTGATTTGCAAGATGGTTGGACTTTCGTGGTGAATCTGCAAGATGATGCTTTAAGAGTTTGGACACGATCAGGATGCTATTCATATTTGTTCTATTGTTAATTATGTTTGTATAGCTTTCATTGTGAATTTGCGAGGTGATCATCGAAGGGTTTGGAGTATTAATGAGGTTGTCTGAGAGTTTCCTTTTATTCACAGACCATTGATAATTGATTTCGAAGCAGTTCTCATCACTTAAGGCAAAAATCCACTGCTCTAGATGTTTTGCAACATATAATTCCTTACATTGATGGAAGAAAAATTTTCCATAGTTGGTCTGCTTTGTCACTCCTCAGTATCATCAGTGGTACCCAGTTAAAAGATATGCCTTCTAGTTTGCTCCAAATCGGCAACACGTTTCCACAAAATGCTAACTTTAGTGGAGAAATTCCCCTGCTTTGTTGTTGTTGTTAATGGAGTTCTAGAGACTGAAGATGAGGTGGCAAGTTGGATATGTATTGAGCTTATCCATTGTAAATGTAATGGCAACATTTGGAAAAATTTTAAAGTTGATCATAAAATATGCGGTTACCAAACTTTTGATTCGACTGAAAAAGTATTACGTAATGCCCTTTCCTATTTTTATATTTGCAAAGTGCTGCAACTATAATATTCTAGTGCAATCTCCATTATCAGTAGTGGGCAATAAGTGCAAGCACTCTTGGAGCTCATGTACTAGTATAAAAACTCTCTAGTAGGCTAGGCTTTTGCATTCTGGGATTGAAGTTTGTAGAGGATTTGTGCTTTTGTGAATCACAATGGCGGCTTCAGTGAAATTCATTTGCTTTCTAGGACTGCTTGCAGTTGTACTCAACATTGCTGGGCTTGATGCGGCTGGAGAATGCGGAAAGTCATCTCCAGATAATGAGGCAATGAAGCTAGCTCCTTGTGCAACAGCAGCGCAAGATGAGAAAGCTCCGGTTTCTGACAGTTGCTGCGCCGAGGTGAAAAGAATAGGCCAGAACCCAAGCTGTCTCTGTGCTGTTATGCTTTCTAATACTGCAAAGGCATCAGGAATTAAGCCCCAAATTGCTATGACCATCCCCAAGCGCTGCAACATTGCAAATCGTCCAGTGGGTTACAAGTGTGGACGTGAGTATATAGAATTCATTATGTCTGTTTTGTTCTTTGCCTTATCACTTGATCCCTGATATCATAATTTTTGGTTTTGCAGCTTACACACTTCTAATATCATAATTTTTGGTTTTGTAGCTTACACACTTCCTTGATGAGATAACAAGTAGAACTGAAGGCCATGGATGGGGCGTTAAAAGTACTTAAATTGTGGAAGCAACTATGTTGCTTTGACTTGTCTTTGTAGCAATAAAGCCTTAAAGTTTGTAATCGCCTTCATATGAATAATAAAATATATTAATTTTTGAGTAATCTTATGGTTTCCCGTATGAATTTTTTGGATTCCCCTTTGATTGTCAGTCGAGAAACCCAGTTGAAGAAGCAAGTTTCGAAATGAATGCGATATTCTCAAATCAACCTTTTAGAAAGTTGATGTGTCAGAATGGTATGGTCCTTGGAGACAATGATACTCATCATGTAACATCAGAATCAGAATCAACTTTGATAAATTGTGGTTGAAGAATCTTTGTCCTCAGACTATATAACGACCAAACTTGACCACACCATTGAAAGCATTGTTCCATCAATATAAGGATAAAGACTGCTTTAATTGGTGGGTCACATTCTAGACAGGGATAACCTCGACCTGAGAATTGAGATCTTAGACTGAGATAAGAATAAGAAAAAGACTGTTTTAGTTGGCTGGACTGCTTGATATTGTGCTTGCTGGGCCACACCCAACTCAACACTTCTTTAACTGTTCATAGGGCTTGGCATCTTCAGGATATCCTAGACATAACGTGTGGACTGGGAAAGTTTTCAGGGATCTTTTTCTGAATGTTTGAAGGTATCTTAGAAATAAATGTTTTAGGAAAAACAGAAACAAAGAATAAACGAGAACTGTAGTGTTTGATCATATTCTGTAGTGTTTGATTCCAATATGATCAAACATTACACCATGCGTTGCCATTAAAATTAGTCACATAAGTATCATTTATTATCAACAGAACCAAGATGAGTAATAGTACCAAAATGGTTCGTATTCAGAGGGATTAAATGCAATAGTAGTGAAGGTAACTCAGATTCCATATAAAGCTTAAACATAAAACAGAGATCTGGAAACCAAACGAGAGTTCAACAACAGATAAAAGATACTTAATATGATCTTATATTCAAAGATCCTACCACTCCACTATCACTTGTAAATGAAGTCTAAACCAAGCATCCTTTACATAAAAAACACCAAGTTCACATCATTTACAATAAAACAGGAAAGTCCATATAACTATCTGGCTATTAAGCAATGTTGCTATACAGCTGGAGGAAGCAATAACGACCAGCTGAGCAACGAACTGAGTGCTATTATCTATCTTCCATGTAATAATATAAGGTAGACTAAACTGCTACTCTATATTCTTATGTACCTGCTAGAAGGCATATAGTCAAAAGTAAGCAATCCAAACCAAATCAATAAAGGTTGATGGCATACAGTCAAGGATCCAAAGTGGTGAATTTCTCAGATGTGTGATACCTTGTTGGTAAGTATGTAAAAGCTTCGGCAAGTTAACTCTTAATAATAGAGAGATCCTGCAAAGAATAGTACATAACAACGGCATCAGTCCAGTGCAAATAAATCAATGATACACCATTCAAAAACTTAATACATGATCACAGTACAATACCTTGCCACCAATTTCCTCTTGAAGCACTCTCCGAATCATCTTCTCCATCTTTTTTTAGCTGATAAAAAATTATAATAAAATCAACATAAACAACATTTTAGCAGATCCAATATGGTACACCTCAAAAACTCTCAATAAGGACATAGCCCTTCTTCTTTCAATCAACCAAACATTACAGATGACCCAATAACTAAAAGCTCCCATTGAGGGTGAAACTACATCTCTGCATTTGGACTTTTCTCTCCTACTTGATTATTTTGTTAAGTATTCTGACCCTAATATTCTGTATATATAACTTACCAAAAAAAGGCAATCAAATAGAAATCGATTTCGTTGTGCAATGATCTATGGATGGTGTAATAGCTAATATGTGCTCACCATAGAGTTAATTCCAGGGGCCTGTGAATTCTGGGGCTGAGAATAGATGTCTTGGCCACCATAATAGATTGATGAACTGAGATGACACGGCTGTACTCTTTGTTCCTGATAAAAGGAACCGTCCTTGTTTGGTGTGCCTTGACTCTCAGTTTCACTACTTTTAGAGGCATTACCTGATTAAAAAAGCAGGGTGGATCAGTAGACCAGTTTCAGACATGATTTCAAGAAATAAAATCCTAGATATTATACTGAAACTGAAAATAATGCCAACAATTTGAGTCCAAATAATCATGTCAAACTCTCTCTTCAGGATTTGGTAAATACTGGAAATTTCAAATAATCAGAGAATGCTAAGCAATTTCAGCATAACTGGCATCAAGTTATCACAACAGAGTCTCTTGCATGGAACAGGATTATCATTTAAATACACTAAATTTGTGTCAAGGATATGTTTTTGTTTTTTCAAACGAAAGTGTCATTGAATAAACAAATAAGAATTGACATGCGTACCAGGAACTCCAGCTTTGTTGTTCCAGGGCTCATGCTTTTTCTCCATTGATTCAGAACGCAGAGACTCCCTTCCTAACACCTAAAATCAACAGCACAAACTTAATCTAAGAATTGCTTCAATACACACGTTAATAAATAAGCGAAAACATCGAAAACTTCTACAACAAGGCAGCATCAACAGGCAACAGAAAACATTGAAATATAAAAATATCCCAAATTCCTTCATTTTTGTATACACTCCATTAAAAGAATAAACTTCCATGATATTCAAATTTGATTCCAAGAAACTAAGAAATCCCAGAAGCATAATTGGATATAAAAACCAATTAATGAAAAGAGCTGAAAAGAACAATACCTTAGAAGGAGGTGAAAAGATGGAGCCAAAAATCCCCGAGGAAGAAGAAGATTCCTTGGAACCAAACAATTCATTGGTTAATGAAGAAGATGAACCAGTTGGCTTTCGTCCTTCCATTTCTCTCTTTCTTTCTAATGAATCTCTCAGCCGCCAAGAAAGAGAGAGATGAAAATAACTAAATTCAAGAATCACCGTCAAAGAAAGAGAAAGGAAGTTGAGAAGGAGAAAAAAAAATTGAATACAAACAAGAAACAGAAAATATAAATTATGAAATAAAAAGGAAAAGACACGTGAAGATCGCGGCTTAGAGAGAAATGAAACCGTCGAACACCGATTTATAAGCCTTTAAAAGGACTATTTCGGAATATAAAATTTAAATTTAAAATAAAATATTTATTTAATACTAATTATCTTAAATATGAAATGAACCTACCACGTTCTTTCGTTGAATCTTTTTCTTTTCCCTGATCTCTCAAATTCTTTTTTCCGTTTCTGTTTCTCGTCCTTCTACCTGTCAGACAAGATAGAAGACACGTGGAACAATCTAGACTTCAAAGTGGGACCTCTCTTAAATCCCCCAACATTTTACTGCCACGAGTACCTAATGGATAATAACAACCTCCAGCCTTTTCCTTAGAGTTCGTTTTTAGAAGTTGAACCCCATTTTTGACTTTTCCCCCCTTCTTTTAAGACTCAAGACTCTCTCTCAACTCCCTTATCTTTTTATCTTGTCGACCAAAAACATGTTCTGTCTTCTTCACTAAACTCTTCCTCTGTTTTATCTTTTTTTAACTCAGATACGTTTTTATTCAATTTTAATTACTAAATTACTAAATAAAATAAATATCTCTGAGTTGTGTTCAGTTAAGTGGGGCCATGACATGAAGAGCGAAAATCTGTGAACTCTGATTCATTGTTTTGGATAAGAGAGATACAGTTAAGCAATAATTAATTTAAAATTAAGATTAATTAGGAGGGTCCATGTTTGGCAATGCCGACATGTCGCAAAGTGATATTTAAATGGGTCCATCATCCACGTGGAATAAGCAGTCATTGCGTTGGTTAGCCACTGTGAGTCGCCGCATGATATTCGTGTGTTTGATTTTCAGCCACGTGGACCGTCCAAAAATTTTCCTCCTTTCGATTGACCATTATGTACTTTTACGCGTTGAAAATACTAGAGATATAAAGATTCTTATAAAATGGTCAATAACGGATCTAAAAATTTTTGTTAGAATGGACTAAAGTAAAAATTAATTATACATTAATACTTTTGTTCATTAATATTTTTGTTAGGGTGAGTTAAAATATATAAACTATACATATTAATATTTAAAAAAAATTTGAGAGCCCACCAAAAAAGGCGGGATCCGCTCCTAAAAATGACGTAACAGCCTCATCACCAGTCTCCACATCACATGCGCTCTCTCTTTAGTCATTTCCTTCTTTTCTTCATCTCTCTCAATCTTCTCTTCGTTTTGCATATCTAAGGAAAAAAAGTTTTTTTTTTTCCTTTGTCGTAGATTTTCTAAATTTTTTCTGGCCACTCTTATCTTCTTTCCCTCCCATCTCTTCCTCCTTTTGTTCTATTTTTTTTTTTTTCCTTATATATTCTTATGGAAAATTCCCTCTCTAAATTTTTTCTACATTCTGTTTCACATTTTCTAAGAAAATTCCATCTCTAAACAAACAATATAATACTAATAAGCAAGTTTGTTCATAACCATATTCAAACTCTTTAATCCTGGAAATACATCCCCTTAGAAACCTAAGAATAGTCCTTGAAATATTAGCAAAGTTTGCTGAAAACTTATGCAAAGTCACTGCATTTGTTAAACTCATAGGAATCTCCCAAGACTCAAAGGAATTATAACCAAGGCTTAATACTTTGCAAAGAAGTTAAACCAGAAAAGAAATCCGGGGGAAATATGAAAAATTGTTGTTATTAAAAAGCATTTCTTAAAGAGAAATTAACCCAACAAGAGCTGGGATAGGCCCACTAGGTTTGTCCTTCATCACCTCAAGTATAGTCAGTGAAGTTAAGTTCGTGAGGTCTGGTGGGAGAGTTCCTTTTAGGCTTTCTTAGAGTCTTACACTGACTAGGCACGCTCAAGCCTATTGGATTATAAGAGGGGGTAATTCTCCCATTCAATAAGGCCTTATTTGGTGAGGAGTCAGGTTCATCTCAAATTCTATCATGGTATCAGAACCCAGGTTTAGTTGAGCTGAGCGCTTAACCAGCGTTGAGGAGTTAGAATTAGTAACTACCTCCATCAACAGATATGACCCAACATATGAGCTTGACCATAAGGGAGAGTATTGGAGTTTCACACCAACTATGCACATTTAAGCCTATTGGATTGGATTATAAGAGAGGGTAATCCTCTCGTTCAATAAAGTCTTATTGGATGAGAAGTTAAATCCACCTTAAATTCTATCAGGCCTAATGAGCCGATTCTCTTTTTCGTCTCTATATTCTACTTTTTATAAGGGAAAATAAAAAAAGAAAAAAGAAATAGAAGAGGAGGAAGAAGAGACAGGAGATAAAGAAGATTGAGGAGATAAAAAATTTTAGAAAATCAACGATAAAGAAATAGTTTTTTATTTTCTTATATCTACAAAATGGAGAGAAGATTGAGGGTGTGAAAGAAAAGAAAGAGAAAAGACTATAGGAAAAGGATAGGTGATACGAAAACTGATGATGTGATAAGTGTCACACCGCTTTGTAAAATTAAAAAAAAAAAAAAAATCTTTGTTACTATCGCATTTCTCTGGATGCGTGAAATGAATGTTTAATTAAATATCGTAATTTAAAATAATTAATGAAGATGAGATATGATTAAATAAAGAAAGATATTTTGAGTTGTCCCATGCAATAATGCATAACAAACGCCCAGGTTAACCAAAACCTAGAATTAAAAGATAAGATCAAATGATATCTGTTTAATATATCATTTTATTGAATCAAATCTGTTATGGGCAGTAGATGACGATATGGTGAGTATTCATTTTACACTTGTTGGATTATAATTAAAATTAAACTTATAAATAATAAATTAGTAGTAGACTTTTTGCATGTGCGTGAAGAAGCAGATCATCTAAATTCCTTGTCGTTTCTTCACGACTTTAAGAATTTGCATTCTAAGCCGATAAACTCGAAATGGGGCCACTTAATTAAATCTAATTAGAAATAATTTTGGCAGATTTGGGAAGAGATGTGGCGATCGAGAATAGCAATCACAAAACGGTAGATCAATCCATGGATAAGACCAAAGAGACAAACACTTAAAGGACGTGTTAATTATATGATAGTTACACCTCATGTGCCTAGTTGCACCAAACTCTTGCTCGTTTCTTAATTCAATCTAACATCAAAATTTCTAGTTAGAGTTAAATACATTTTGGTCCTTAAGGTTTTGGTCTAAGTGACAATAAAGTCCAAATAGTCATACTTAGCTCTAGGGGTGAGCAAATTTTGAGAGTAGAACCAAAACCGACGAGTACCTAGATGCTCGGTTTCCGTTCCTATCTAGAATCGGTTTCAGTTCCAAACTTATTGGAATTGGTACTCTGCGGGTTTGGGTCCACTTCCACCAATTTAGGAATCGGACCCGGACCTAGGAATCAGAATTGGAATCGGACTTGAGGTGGAATCAGCGGGTACTTAGGGTGTATTTATAATTCTTGTAAATAATTGGGGTGTCTTTGTAATTTTTATAAGATATATTTAAAAATATTGTAAACATGAGGGGTGTATAAATTTTGTGTGAACGGTACCCGAACCCAGATCTGACCGAGTCTGGGACCGATTCCAAGGGATTGGGCCAAGTACCTAGATCAACTCACTCATTATTCAAGACTACTTAGCTCCTTGAAAGGTAGCGGCTTTTTAATTTTTTTAAGTACATCTAAAATGTCCCTAAACTTTTCTTATGTAAATGAAATTAAAAATTGATAGCATCATTAAAAAAAATAGACAGTTGCTAACTGTTAGAACAATCCCATTAATTATAAGAAAAAAAAAAAAAATTAACAGATTAAGGGTGTTTTAGACATTTACATTTTTTTTTTCAAAAGGTGATACTGACAGCCAATGACCCAAATGTTACTTTCAGATTCTATAGGACCTTAAGTTACGCAGACCATACCTCAGGGACCAAAATGATTTAACTCTTAAATATAATAATCAAGTTAATAATATTAACGGAGAAATAATAAGGAATTAAGATGCTGTCGACATGAAATCACATCCATTAACTGCAGAGCAGGAATAATCAAAAGAACAGGTGAAGACAAATTTGACTTTAAACTTCTACTTTTTATAATCCAACAAAATAGAACATGAAAGATGATGCAAATTGCGACAAGTTTCAGCCATAACCTTTACTTATCAACATTTCTGTGAATGTTAAAAGTGCCAAAATATGCCGACTCCCATTGTTTTTATTCCAAAAATAGTCATTTGTAATTCCTTAATTGTTTAGGGATAATTTGGGAATTCATTCAATTTGTAAATTTATACTTGAAGAAAAATGGAACCTCTCCATTCCTTTAACAATTTTTTTTTTTTAATTTTGTTTTTATGTAAGATAAAAAAAAGGGGTCAAATTTATATGGAAAAGCAGGAAATTAACAACTCCTGAATATGACACAAAAGGCCCGCAGGCCAATGGGTTATGCCAGCCCAGTTCCTGCCCGAGTCCAACAAAAATTTTATGGTCATAACTCTCAAGGCTTTCAAGTCATGAGTAATGTTATACCCAAAATATCTTCTCACAATTTTTCTCTTAGTTCGTAATTGATTAGTCGTAATTTATCACTTCGGATTTAGGTAAGACCCATTATAAACTGATCAATTGTAAACTGTCATATCGGATTTGTAAGAAGAGGTTATGGGTGTAGCATTTTCTATAAAAAAAATGAAGTCTCGGCTTTGGAGTTGGTGACAGTAACAGGGAATTGGGCAAGAGTTATATTTCATTTTCTCCCAGTGATATCGCTAAAGTATTAAAAAATCTTCTATATAATTATCACAAACCCTTTTAAAAATCATCAAACATTTTGTCACAAAATTATGAAAATCCCTCTTATAAGGAGTATTTAATATTTTCTGAGTTTAATATTAAACTATCTCATAGGACAGGAAAATGAAATAATCCAATTGAAAAAATTAAAATGCTTTTCCTTTAACATTTATTTTCTTGAACAAAGTAGAAGAAAAGAGTAGCTATAGAACTGATGGAACTTTTAGCCACTGGAGTTTTTATCCGTCTAGTAGTTTCAGAGTCCCAGAGATTAGTTGAGATGCGCGTAAATAAATCCA